TAGATAGATAGATAGATAGATAGATAGATAGATAGATAGATAGATAGATAGATAGATAGATAGATAGATAGATAGATAGATAGATAGATAGATAGATAGATAGATAGATAGATAGATAGATAGTTTATAAGAGAGGGAAGCTAATAAAATATGTATAGAAATTGAAAAAAAAAAGAAAAATGACAAAAAGACAGAGTGGTGACAGAGATAGAGAAAGAGAGAGACAGAGAGAAAGAAATAGGGGGAGATAGACAAATCTATAAAGTGACATAGAGAAACGTTTTGCTGATAGAGGTATTAGCTTAAATGTTTAAATTTGTGCTTTCTCTTAAAAAAAACAAAAAGTTCAGCTTCTACCCAGTCCAAAAAACGTTGAGATCCAGAAATATCCAAGTCCTTTACTAGATCGTTCCGATTAAAATCCTTTATAGAGCCCGCTAGTTTTATTAGCATATAGTAATGGTCATAGACATAGCCTGACCTAGACAAAAATACAAGACGTTACCTCACTGTGTGTATAAAAGTAATATTGGTATTTTAATGATTGTACCTTTTTCACTTGCTTTAAGTTGATACAGCTTTTTTTGCTTATCTATTCAATTGTGCATTTGTATAGAAATGTATTTATATAGTTAAATTAAAATTTAGTATCACTGGCTTTCGTATCGTTTGTCTTTGCATGCTGTTAGACCAGTCTTTTGCTACGTATTTTTTTCTTCTACGAGCCAAATTTTATACGTATGAAATCTTTTAAATTATGAAAGTGGGCGACATTGCACCCATTCTTAATTGTAGCTCCCATCAAAAGGGACTTTGACCTGGTGACGGAATTACAAGACGTACATTTTTTTGTGACGTATTCTTCAAAATAACTTATTAATGTAGCAGAAATAAAAAGAAGGACAGGCTACGCTGGAAAGGATACTTAGAAAGAATGTCAAATGGCATAAGTGGGAAGAAGGCTCACCACCGAAAACCAAGAAGAAAACGGCTCAAAGGAAGACCTAGGCTTAGATGGATGGTTCATGTGGGAAAAATCTACAGCACCTGGGAATCCAAGCATGTGAATAAAAAGCAACAGTTAGGTCTGAGTGGTGGAAGGAAGTGGTGAGGCAGGCCAAAACCCTACATGGGCAGTAGCGCCCGAGAGACGAATAGAATGAATTATTAATAAATAAGTTTAAACAAATAAATAGTTTCAATAAAAATAATAATTACTATTTAAGAACAACAAAAATAAAAGTTTTTGTATAATGACACTGGTCATGGAACCTACATTTTCACTAGCATCTCTTCTGTTGATCCCCTATGAAATGTAGAATGAGGAAAAACCCAATTCCGGTATGTGCCAAAATGCATCATTGTATTTTGATTTATCAAAAATTTTCTTGGCGAGAGGAAGGGGACTAAGCCCCCTCTCCAGACCCCTCTCATCCCATAAAATTTACTGTCCAGACATATATTTATCTTTTATTAAACATTACCCTTTATATGTTCAGCTTGATTGTTTCCAAGATCTCGAATATTAAGTGTTTCAAATACAAAAGTAAACATTTTTATCATATTAAATTTTATTTGCTCAGGGCATTATTTTGGTGTGTGGGCGGTGTTTCAAAGACTTTCTTTCTACTTACAGTTCAGTCGTGCGGAAGTGTGAAAGTGTCGTGCGTTATCTTGTTGTTTCCCTACGTTCCACGCGGCAATCGTCTCATCGTCTCGTTGCAACCCAGCTGTGCCAACATCGCGTCAACTACTGGGTCGACGGAGGCGGATTGACACGTCGATTAACTTCTCGTGGTTGACCGCGTCTGTAAACACGGCTGAGTGAAAGGGTGGGTGTGGGGGGGGGGGGTCGGATCTAATTTTTAAATGTTGTATATCGCGGTAAAGAGTTTTGAAAGGATTTTATAAGCATTTGAGTCTTTACAACAAAAAAATAATAATTATTCCACTTTTGTCAATACTTTAAAGCTTACAGTTTTAAAGCTAACAATTCCACAGGCACAAAAGTTTCTAATACCTTTTTAAGAAATATAATAATACAATTTAATTTTTTTTTAAATACCTTCTATCAAAGACAATTTTAACGCACTAAACATTTGAAAATTATTCCACGCATAACGCAAAGAAAGTCTGCGCAGAGAATATGTACAAAAATGATTTAAAGTAAGACCTATTTAAGTTTCGTCTACATTCAGTTGGAATCACATGAGTGCATAGAGCGCTCATCTACACTTCCGCACAGTCTTTCTTTGGCTAAATAGAAAGCTCATTTCATTTTAAATCGTCTTCGATAGAAATTCTTTTTTTTTTTTTTTAAATATATATTTATTATAGGATTTTCACTCCCTAAGTGGCAATATCCTAGTTAACCAACTGTTGGCCATATTCTAGCTGCCCAACTGTTGGCCATATCCTAGCTGCCCAACTGTTGGCCATATCCTAGTTGCCCAACTGTCGGCAATATCCTAGCTGCCGAACTGTGTTTGTGTGTGTGTGGGTGGGGGGGGGGTGGCGATATGCCATTTAATCTTTTTCTCAACGCTTGATAATCTCCCTTTGGTGGAAATTTTAGATTGAATGAAAAGACAATCATTTTTCTAGACTATGGCAGTTGGTGCAGTGAGCGAGGGGCTAATTAAACTGGACAAATGTTCAATATTTAAATGATGAACATCATCAGCTGAATATATTGTATGTTGACTAATTAGTCAAACAAATGTCATGTTTACAGTAGGTCTAATATGATTTTACGTAGACAGTCGTGAAATTTATTTTCTTTAAAAAAATGATTGGGATGACGGGTAGTACTGACATGACAACGTCACTAAAAGTATGACAAGACGACATCATTAAAAATATAACAAGAAAACATCATTAAAACTATGACAAGACAACACCATTAACAATATAACAAGACAACCTCATTAAAACCATGACAAGACAACATCATTAAAATATGACAAGACAACATCATTAAAAATATGACAAGACAACACCATTAAAAAATATAAAAAGACAACATATTTTTGTCAGTTCTTGACTTTTCACTGCCTGCTAATTTATATGTTAGCAGCTGGTTAACATAACACGACAGTGACCTCCTCCCCTCAGGTTTCAAACAAAGGGAAAGTACCTCAGCTAACCAGATGCCATCGCTGACTAACCATAGTTATCGTCTGCTCTGATGTGTTGTACAGCTATGGCATCTACAGTACGTTTAGATTACCCGGATTAACAAACAAAATAGGGGGTGGAGTCTGGGAGAACAATCTAATTTCAGATTTACAAATGGGAAATCCCCTGTTACACTGGGACAACTTACGTCATTTCTTGATTATATTTTCTCCACTCCCACCCCAATGCCATTAGAACCTATGTATCCCGTCATAGGACCACGTGCATCCCGTCATAGGACCACGTGCATCCCGTCATAGGACCACGTGCATCCCGTCATAGGACCACGTGCATCCCGTCATAAGAGATATTGCGATCCATCATAGGACTTCATGTATCCTATCATATGACCCAGTGCATCCCATCAGAGGACCTGGTGCATCCAGTCATAGCTAGGAAAGGGGGGGGGGGTGTTTTGTAACCGATTACATGAGCCTTAGGGGCCGTTCGCAATTAAGTCACGCAAAAGATGACCTTTCCAGACCCCCTCCCCTTTTCACGAATTCTTTACACCTCCCCTCTCAGTGTCACGTCACACCTAAAAAAATTCATAACATACATAACATTTTCATAACTTAACTAGGATTTTATTGTATCCTTCTTCTTCTTCTTCTTCTATATATTAAGGGCCCACGATCAATTTATTGATCATTTTGGCTCCTATGCATGTAGAGGGGATTTGCAATGTTTCTGTGCCTGGTGTTGATGAGGACATTTCACTGATTTCCAGTGCTACTTTGTGAGGGGATCATGCACTAGGGGTTTGAAGGCTTGAGGCAATAGATACCAATGAGTCCAGTGTTGTCGCCTCAACTGATCCTTTAGAAAGCTTGTTCCAGTCCCTGATTGTCTTGGGCAGGAATGAGCAGCTCCTATACTGCCTTCTTGCTGGTATGAGCCCGAATTGCCTGTCATGGCCTCGTCGCTGTCTATGTGGGAGAGGGACGAGTTTCTGTTTAATTACTGGAACTGTGGACCAGCCCATTATTTATTTTGTACATCACGGAGAGCCTGGATTGTCGTCGTCGTTCCTCC